AGCTCACACTATCACTTGCTTGACTAAACTAAGCCTGCATGTCCCCTCTTCTTACTTTCAGACATGCTCCTCATTACCACCAACCCATATGACTATCACTTTGTGAGTCAAGGTGAGATCACCGTTGCCAGCATTAATGACCAGGAGGAGCTGATGGCTACAGATGTAAGTGACAATTAAAAATGTTTTACCTATTGTAATCTCTCCCAGACAAAGCTTTTATTTTATTGTTCCTATTGCAGAGTGCCATTGACATCCTGGGATTCACTGCTGATGAGAAAACAGCCATTTACAAGCTGACGGGGGCTGTCATGCACTACGGGAATCTGAAGTTCAAGCAGAAGCAGCGGGAGGAGCAGGCAGAGCCCGATGGCACAGAAGGTATCAGCAAAGTATGTGACTGTCCTGTTAGAAATAGAAGTGGCAATAATAATTCAGTTTGGAATATGGAGAAAGAGAACAGTGGAAATGTGTAAAAAAAAGTGTTTAGGTGAGATAGCATACAGGTATGAAACTGCCATCCAAAATATACCTTTTTTTTCAATCACTGCATAATCTTTATTGAAAGTATAAATTGCATATGTGTACATATTTCTCTCCTGGTCTATCTCAGTTTGGGATAGCACAGTCTGCTCAGTGTGCTTATATTAAAGACCTACTGAGAAGGATTTTTCAGAAATTATATTTCTAGTTTCTTTTTTAAAGAAAATGGAGGCATTAAATTTGTTATTAGAACTTCTTCTTTGTAAATCACATTTTATTTAGGAATTTTGCCCAGGTAAAAGGGAACTTTTCCTCAACTTCTTTCTTCCCCTTTGATGATTCAAACCCATAATTGTCTCTACACACTGGTACCATTTGAACATTGGTCTAAGTGCAGCATAGGAACACTATGCTAGGGAAGAACTGACAGATTTGTACTTCCCAGCTGACTACTTAAGCACTTAAACCTTATATAATGCATATACGGTTTAAAATGACTAAGCCCTGTCTACTTCTTCCAAAGAATGCTCTCAGATGGCCAGCTTCAGGACTGAATTTTTAGGTTTTGATCCTGAATGAATGAATATGCCCATCTTTCTGATATGACTATAAAAGTAATTCTCCAGAAAGAGGCACTTCTTAATTGTTGCCTCTAATTTTGGAATGCACTCTCCTTTAGGGTTATAGCTGCAGCTAAAGAATACATGTAGTCCAAGTACCTGAGCATGGGTTTTGGATTACACTCAGATGGCCAACCTGCTAACACCTTTGTATTTTTTTGCCTGGTCTATAGATGCCAATTAGCTCTGAAGTGATGAACTTCAGCTTTCAGTATTAATTTTAAATAAATACATTGTGTCTAGACGCTTCTGTGAAGATTTTTAAAGACACAAATAGCATTTAGGTGTACTGCTCTGAAATGCTTTCAAAACAAAGATGATTTTCACTTTAATGACTATTGTGCTTCCTCTGAAATCCTGTAAGCAGAATTTGATCACAAGGACATTCAATATTGTAGTTGCTTTGAAAAGGGTTCATCACTCAAAATGCTGCATGTCTTGTTAGTCTTAATTGTTCTATCTCCTACTTAGTTGCTGACAAGGCTGCCTATCTGATGGGTCTGAACTCAGCAGACCTGCTCAAGGCACTGTGCTACCCCCGAGTCAAGGTTGGGAATGAATATGTGACCAAGGGTCAAACCGTGCAGCAGGTAACAACCAGCTGGTGATTGGGAACCTCTGACTTGTATCATTTACTATTTGCTCCAGACATTGTTTTTCTTCTGCTCCATTCTTCTGTGTTCTAGGTGAACAATTCAGTGGGTGCTTTGGCAAAGGCTGTCTATGAGAAGATGTTCTTGTGGATGGTGGTTCGCATCAACCAGCAGCTGGATACGAAGCAGCCCAGACAGTACTTCATTGGTGTGCTGGACATTGCTGGCTTCGAGATCTTTGATGTGAGGATTCCAGGTTTGACAATGGCTTTTTCAGGGAGAGACTGCTATATCAGAGGAGTTTCCAGTAATATTCTTCTGGAGGTTTAAAATGCTAGTCATTTGAAATTTCTGGAAGAAAGTCCTTCATTTACTTTTGTAGCACAGAGAAAAATTTTCAGAAGGTTCATCAGTACAAGAACAGAATTATGTTGTTTGTGTAGAAATAGAAAATAAAATTATATATGTTGTAATATAGTAACAGTTTAAGCTTACTGATAATTAAAAAAACCCAGCATAATCGCAATAGTTTTATATAAGAGAGTGTAGAAAAGAACTAGGATTTGAATACCCAGTGACAAACACATAACAGGTTAAATATGTGTATGTACATTGTTTAAGGAACCAAAGAATGAATAGGTAAGTGTTTGATCAGAGATATCAAACGTTTAAAAATTTGAGACCAGAACATACAATCATCTTTCTGGCTGAACAAAAAAAAAATGCCTAAGTACTACATGAATCTTAAGAGATTTCCTAGGAATACCTGCTCTGGAAAAATTTCCATTATCATTATGTGAGTATTTCTTTGGGGAGCAAAGAAATACTGCTACATACCTACTATGGTGTAGTCCTTCTAATACAGTTGTGTTTTATGTGGTTTATAAAGCATTGACAATGATCAGGAACTGTGCATGATGATGATGGGTGGTTGTTTATTTTCTTTTTCCACTGTGCAGTTCAACAGCCTGGAGCAGCTGTGCATCAACTTCACCAATGAGAAACTGCAACAGTTCTTCAACCACCACATGTTCGTGCTGGAGCAGGAGGAGTACAAGAAGGAGGGGATTGAATGGACATTCATTGACTTTGGGATGGACCTGGCTGCCTGCATTGAGCTCATTGAGAAGGTAAATTTTTATTCAAAATGTCTTGTATTTTCAGGATCTCATTATTTTAAATTAAAAATGGTTAAATATTATTCAAAAAAAGGTCTCTTCCATGGTTAGTTTCATATATTGTGTTTTAGTTGTTGAAATAACTCGATCTGTACTATTGGTTATTATGCATTAGAGATACTATAAAGTCCACAAATAAATACAAAAGTCATTCCCCACATTCCATCCTTGTGTGAAAGGTATCTCTGCTTGCTTGTTTAAATGATTTTTTTTTTTTTTCAAAAAATAGAGAACAACTCATGAAGTAAAATAAAAATATTTTCTTAAGGTTCTGGAATAAAAATCTGGACAATATATTTTTTTCTAGATGGTAAGTAATGACACACCAATAGTCAGTGCTTGACCTCTGAGTGCAAGAAAATAAAAGATTTCTTGTCAATTAGGGAGTTGGTGAAAAATACAAAAACTGAAGTAAATAGACAATGGACACTTGTCAAAAATATTTTTAAATATAATCTTTCTCCTCTTGATTTTTTAACATGTTTTTTAGCATAAAAAATAATTTGTGAATCACTGTGACAGGATGTGAGTCAGGCAGATAAATCTTTTACATTCACTTTTTAGAAATAAATCTTCTTCATGGCAAGGGTATTGTTATGTTTCTAAGCTTCCTGTCTTTTATTATGTTCCCTTTAAGACCAATTGTATCATATTATACTTTCTTCTTTACTGTACTATGTTCCAGCCCATGGGCATCTTCTCCATCCTGGAAGAGGAGTGCATGTTCCCCAAGGCAACTGACACCTCTTTCAAGAACAAGCTCTATGACCAGCATCTGGGCAAGTCTGGAAACTTCCAGAAGCCCAAGCCTGCCAAAGGCAAGGCTGAGGCCCACTTCTCCCTGGTGCACTATGCTGGCACAGTGGACTACAACATCTCTGGCTGGCTTGAGAAGAACAAGGACCCCCTGAATGAAACTGTCATTGGGTTGTACCAGAAATCATCGGTGAAGACACTGGCCTTACTCTTTGCCTCCTATGGTGGAGCAGAAACAGGTTAGTTTTTAAAAATTCTTTTTTTCCGAACATTTATGCTGTGTAAAAAAAGAAAAAAAAAAAAAAAAAAAAAATGGAAAAAAGGGTGGAAAGAAGAAGGGTTCTTCTTTCCAGACAGTCTCGGCTCTTTTTCGGGTAAAGTATGAACTTCATAATCTGTCAAGTGACAAGCACACAGTTTCAAATCTGAGCTATCTAAACTCCCCTTCTTATAATAACCATGGTTTTATAATAAAACAATGTGTTAAGTGAGTAGAAGTTATTCACTGCCTTTTCCTAGTAATTATCTGTTCATATTTGGGATTTGGTTTAAGCACTCTTCAAATAACCACCTGAATTTCTTCTAAAAGTCCACTAATATTCTTTGTGAAAAACATTTTTAGAATCTGAGATATGATGTAAATATCAATCCCATAAAGGATTCTGTTAAAACTTTTACACACCAATGTTTACTTTCATCCAGATTAAGGTGCAGATTTTCAATTTTTTTAAATGAGACTGAAGAAGTGTATAGAAGTTTGATTAAATCTAAATATTGAAAAGAAATTTCTCTTTGTCCTGAGATTCTTTATATAAACTCCTTGAAATCTAGATACAGAATATACAGAAGTAAATTTTTTTCATCTAACCTCTTCTACATGATCCCACAGGAGAACTTAAACAAGCTGATGACCAATCTACGGAGCACTCACCCCCATTTTGTCCGTTGCATCATCCCAAATGAAACAAAAACACCTGGTAAGATGCTCAAGAAGGCAGAGGAGTTGCTCTGATACAACCGTTCCCCTCTGCACTGGAAGCTGTGGTATGCATTTATGCTCTGAATTGCTAGGTGCCATGGAGCATGAACTGGTACTTCACCAGCTGCGGTGTAACGGAGTGCTGGAAGGGATCCGAATTTGCAGGAAAGGTTTCCCCAGCAGAGTTCTCTATGCTGACTTCAAACAGAGGTAAGAGCACTGCACTGCACTGCACTCCTCAGCATCATTATAAGCAATGTTGGTTCATTCAGGCTGGACTCCTTTGTCAAAAATAGCTGTATGTGAGCTGGTGGGGTTCAGTGGCTAGTGTGTGTTGGCTGGGACAAAAATAGCCTTATCTTCCTCTTTCTCTTTTCCCAGATACAAAGTGCTAAATGCCAGTGCCATCCCAGAAGGACAGTTCATTGATAGCAAGAAGGCTTCTGAGAAGCTTCTTGGGTCAATCGATGTGGACCACACCCAGTACAAATTTGGCCACACCAAGGTACAAGCCCTGCTTGACTCACTCACTGCATGTCAGTGCTGTGCTCTATGCGACAGTGATGTGCTGCAACATTCCCTTTCCCAAGGTGTTCTTCAAAGCTGGGCTGCTGGGACTCCTGGAGGAGATGAGGGATGAGAAGCTGGCACAGCTCATCACTCGCACCCAGGCCAGGTGCAGGGGCTTCCTGATGAGAGTCGAATACCAGAGAATGGTGCAGAGGAGGTAGACATTCCTCATCT